AACTGAGTAGTCCCATTATCAGTCGTGTTTCTTAGACTGATGCAACAACAAAAGGACTGTCACTTAGAAAGTAACAGAAAGGTGAAGTCATACAATGGAAAACATTTACCTGAGATGGGGAGATGCTTGCACAAAATGAGTTTAGTCACAAGGCCCCAGTTAAAGACCAACAGGCCCTTAAACGTAATGCAATAGTCACCGCACAACACAACTTCAAAAACTTATTTGTTCTTAATAATGGAATAACCAAATACAGCAAATCCAAACTTTACATGAATATGAAGTGACAACTGTTAGGAACAGCCTTCCTGTTAAGGGTTCAGGATAGAGCTCATTTTAGCAAAGATAACATCTATCACTACAGGCAATGAAACAGATCTTGCCAGAGTGTAACATTTACTTCAGGTAGTTACTTTTGACATCCTGAAATCAGCTGCCATTGAAAAGCACTGCATTTTTGCACTTACGCCTGTCAAATCTGTGAAACAAAAAATTAAAAAATAATTTAGATAGCATACAGTATTAGAATTTAACAGAGAGCACCCCTGCAGAATGGCTGTTGATACTCTATGTTATTGCTTAATCCTTAAGAAAAGACCCTTAATCTTCCAACAAACAAGAATAAGGTATAAAGATATTCTGTCCCAATAAGAAGGGGTAAGTAGTGTTCTTTCTTTTCCATCAAATTACTTTCTAGGTGTTTGGAAAGAAGCAGAACCCATTCAAAACAGAGAGATCCCAATGAGTACCCATTAGGTGTTTTTTATGAAACATCTTGACTGGCCAAGGGAAGGCAGCAGGCAGGTCGTCACAACTTCAGCACAGCAGTGTTCCCACGGTTGAGCAGAAGCAAAGGAGAAGAAAAGACTGTTCCTTGGTTTCACTGCTTCGGCCCCAGAAAGAAAGGTTCCAATCTGCTAAAGGCAGTTGCTCACAGCCTAAGTTCCTTCATGGAGCTGCCAGAACTTGACTCAGCCCTGTGCAGCCACAGGGCTGCGCTTCCAGAGGACCTGGCAGGCACGTGGGTTGCTCTTGAATGTGAAATCCAAAACCTCGTGCTCCAGCCAGCGTTGTGCCCTCCAGACGCATGCACTAAGCACGCTGTGCAGCTTCTGTGACGTGCTAGCTTGCTCCTTTTGCAGGCCACATGCACAAGCAAATCTAGAAGAACTAAAAGGCCACTTAGCACTGCCTCACATACCAGATGCAGCTAATGAGCCACTTGACGAACAGCTAGCTGCCATTAACACTGTATCTATATGAAAAGGTAGAACAAGAACTTTAGATCTCTGTAAGAACATTTGATTTATAATAACTCCTCTTGAATATCATCTTGTTAGTATGTTTTGCATAGTTCCAGGAACCTGATTTTGGTATTTCAAAGGCCATTTTTTCCCCCTGAAGTCGTTAGAATCAAAGTCATAGTTATACTGTCTCAGAGAGTGATGTGCTGCATGGGTGAGCTATTCATTTTTCCAAGCATAACTTCAGTATGTCAGATTTTCAGGTGTTCCCCTTAGATTGAAGGGATGCCCTTAAGCATCGGTTCTTTCTATACACGGATAATGTGACAGATCAACAGTCAAACCTGTTCTGGTGCATTGTTTCATCATAATGAACAGACTCAGCAGTGATGCAGAAACAACTCCAGCAGTTCTTTAAAACGGGATATTATTAGTTGACCCTGACTCTTGCATATCCTGGCAGTAGGCTAACTGCATCTGATGCAGAGCTTTGCCTTCCTGCCACATCATTATTCTTTTGTTCCAGTTCCTGCAGCTTCTTCATCAGCAATTCTATGCGAATGTGGACCTCCACAAGCTTCTCTTTCAGCTAGGGAAAAAAAAAAAAAAAAAAAAAAAAAAAAGAGTATTTAAAACTAAAGAAAAACATCCTAACACTGAATCTTTGAATGATCTGCACCCCACTCTCAGTGGCTAAAGAGCAGCTGACTTTCAAGATGGAAAATTATTCTGGGCTTTAATCTCTATACTGCATGTCCAGTACAGCCAAAACTGGCACCCAAATCAAAGGCTTGCGCTACAGAGAGGAGATAGATGAATGCGTGCCACCATAACCCATTTCAGGGATGTGTGGAAATATTCTACTTAAGGAGACAGAGTTGCTGGAGCCTTACTACAATCAATCCAATCTTTCCTAGTTAACTCATTACAAGTTTTTACACAGCCAGAGACCTTCTTTGACAATATCTGGACAGACCGTTTCATCATCAGCTTAGGAATATACATGGACAGTCCCTCAAAAATGCCATTTCCAGAGTCTGGGGTTTAAGTTAACACATCTAAAACACAAGAATAAAATCCTGCTGGCATTATGTCTCAAAAAGCAAAGACCAGATTCTTGCACTTGCTCTAGTCAACAAGCAAACTCTCCACAGTCGCATAATTTGTGTTTGCAATGAAGTACTACCATTTTTTTTACTTCAGAAAAATGTCTCAACTTTAAAAGTCTTGCCTGGATAAGATTTTTGCATTTTAGCCTTACTTGACCTATAAAAACACTTATCTTATGGTAAGACACTAGAAGATGACTCTAAAGAGGACAAAACTTAAGAAATGTCACGGGCCCATTTCCATGCTTCGAACAGAAACTAAACAAGAAAAAAAAAAAGTAAGTAACAAGTAAGCACGCACATACTGGATACACTGGCTGTCTCCTACACACAGTAACTTTATTTGAGCTATGGGAGAGGCAACTTACTAAGTCAACAACTAACCAAGTTACAGTAAACAACATCCAATTTAAACACCAAAAAAAGGAGGGAGGTTCTAGTGTTGTCTCAGAAACTACAAGTAAATACTGCCATGCTGTTTTGAGCTTACATAGCCAAAATACAACTGTCCTAGTAACCCTTTTAAATTAACAAATTGCTATTTTTTAAGTTCTTCAACAGTGACTTATCAATTCTAGGGACAACACAAGTAGTAATATTTAGATGAAGTCTCTCTAAACAATTCTTGGTTTTTTTCTTTTCAAAGTGTAGAGATAAAAGGATAACACACTTTTGCCAGAATATTAGCTAGAACTGCATGTTTTGCAGATAAGCGGTTCTAGAAAACGTTTTGCGTGTCTCACGCATATAAGTCAGTCACTGTATTATAAGTCAGTATTTTCTCCATCTTACGCACTTAAAAAAAGTAACTGTATCAATATTTTTGGACTAATATCCAACAATATCAGCATTTAAAAAATATTTTCCATACAAATTAATGTAGCAACCTTACTTTCCGCAGTTGTTCCTTTAAGGTCACAGCAGGAAAATGCACCTTAGAAGCTTCTATTATAATTTGGTCTTTTAAGAGATAACTGGAAAACAAAAGGAAAAAAACCAACCAACCAAACAAGAAAAACAGTTAAAAACCCCATAGTTGCATTCATTGTTTAGACAGATTATTTCACGTGATTTTAAAGCAGATACAAAGTTGTTGCCAAAACTAGTCAATACATTATGAAAATATTAAAAACATAACAATGGTTTTTACTTTGAAATCATAAGATCCTCTCATCACCACCTATAAGTAATTTACAGTTTCTATAGTCAAGTCCTCAATCTATCACAGAACTACCTTACATTAGCTAAGCGAATCTGGAACTGAAGGAGATTTCAGTATTGCAAACAACTAAATTTAAACCTTGACATTACATGAGGACACTGAAGAAACAGAAGGCAAATCAAATGGAGTCACGCCAATACAAACAATTTAAACATAGAGGATATTAAAATCCCACACTAAAGTGCTCAGTCAAAAGCAAAGCCACTTTTGTTATCTGTTGATTAGTTGTACACCCTGTTGTAATAACTTACAAATTCCTGTGAAATCATTGGCCATAAGAATACTGTATACTCACCAGAGGATGCTATCCTTGAAGAAACAGAAGAAGCCTCGGAGATACGCCAGGTCACTGGAGGCAGAATAAAGAATGAAGCCCACGATCAAGCCACATGACCGACAGGATAATGCATTATAAGCACTAAAAGGAGAAAGGGAAAAATATTATTAAACAGAAGGTTCTGAAACCATAGATACTGCATGCTTGTCAGAGGACATCAAATCTTCCTGTCTATCAGGACAGCAAAACAAGACACAATAACGCTTTCTCCATAAAGAAATAATACATACAAAGAGAACGTGAACATAAAAAGCTAGGCATGTTGTGCAAGAAATAATCTCTGTAGTAAGTGAAGTTGTAATTAAGGACGAAAATACATGTCTTATTATCACAGAGTGGTTTAGGCTATACTACTCAAACATGATATAACTGGTAGAAAAATGCCTGCGCCAGGTCATAGATGTGGAGTTTCCTCCTGATAAAACAGATTATTGCCTCATGCAGAGAGAGGGGGGGGGGGGAAAAAAAAAAAAAAAAAAAGGCAAGTCTTGTATTTAAAAAGTTCCCAGCCATTGTAGTTTGTAAAATAGCCTTGAAACATCATTTAAGCAAACTACTGGTTCTGTAAGCCCTCAGGTGATAATTACATCCTTCCCATTAGACTAATCCCAGAGTTACCAAACCTGTTGCTAGCTGTAGGCTCGTGAATACAGCAGCAGCAGTTGTTCATTTTCAGTACAAAAAAAACCCTCCAAACCGAGATGTTTTAATTTAGGTAACACACCTTTTAGGGACGGAGCAGAAGAAAGAGACGTAAAGGCTAGGCTGTCTTTTACTGCATCGCTCCAACGTTCCTCTCCACCAACAAAGGTCAGAGCAGCATAACGTTTGATTTTGACAGAAATGAAAGCTACATACCTACAAAAGGTTTCTCCATCCGGAACGATGAAGCACGAGTACAAGAAGCACTTCGGCGTTTACCAAGCCCCTAAGCAGCCCCAGCGCACAACCCAGGGGAGCTCCTGGCTCCCAGCTGTGCAGAAGCCCCTTTCTGCCCACGCCGTTTGCGGCGGCGGCCGTGCCCGGTGCCAAAAGCAAGGAGGGGGTGAGCTACGCACCATCCCAGGAGGGCTCCCTCGAGGCCGATCATGAGCGAATCCTCCCAGGCCACATCGTTCGTGACTTCTGAGGAGGAAGAGAGGCCCGCTGAAACCCGCACCCCCCGGGCCGACCCCGAGACGTGCGCAAGGTCGCGCTTCGCCCTCCCACCCCGCCGCCTCAGGACCCCCAAGGCGCAGCCCAGCCCGGACCCCCAGGACCTCCCCGCGGCGCCCGGCCCTGCCCGGCGGCAGGCGGGGCTGGGCTCC